TTCTGGCCGTTCGTGTGCAGAGACATTGTGACAACGGCGAGCACACTTTGCCTCAGTCGGCCACGTGTAGCAAAGCACAGCCGAAGAAGGGCGAGCGATTGAAATGTGTCCATGACTTTGCTGCAAATGCTATCAATGAAGTGAAACCATTTGGCGCATTGATTATAGCCAATATGGCGCAGTGGGCGGACAATTTTGGCTGGATCAAAGACCTTTCATTGAGCTGCGTTCTGCGTGCTCAGTCTACCCATTCGTCCCAACAACGCAATGGCTTCTTGAGAGGACATTAGCTTTTGAGAGCACAAAGAACTTGTGTCAGGCCGCAGAAAGAAGAAGGAGATGCAGGTTGTTTTCTGCAAAACGTGTTTCTTTGCAGCTGCATATTTCAGCAAAAGGGTTTTCATCGCACAGAAGCACTCGTAAGAGGCGCCTGGCGTTTCCCAGGTCGATTTGCGCTCTCAGTTCAACCCATCTACAGGGAACTGCTGAAGGCGAACCTATTTCTTAGCACTTGCCAGAATTTCGTTGGGAGCGTCTTCTCCTAAAAGTCACGCCTGTTTGGACAATGGCAATGGAACAGCTGTAGTGCTCCAAACCTAGCTTTGGAGATCAATTGGAATGTAAATGTTATGTTTACCACGTGTTTACATATTGGCGTATCTTTCGGCACATCTTTCACACAACATTCTGACATTTGATTTTGGCGTGCCAAGTCCAGTCTCCCGGTGAAAGCGCAAATATGCCAGTCATCGTGTCATATACCAATAGCTCAACAAAGACATGCCTGGTAAACGCGTTGCCCTTTTTCTGCGCAGGCATGACTTGAGCATGACTTGCTAAAACCTGCGTTTACCTTGAGGAACATGCTCCCCGGAAGGGACTCAATAGAAAAGACAGGCATGAGTTTAGCGGATGCCTGGACGCTCTCCGCCTGCAGTGCTCACTGGAAATACTTTGGCCTCAGCATATTTCGGCCGTTCCAGAACGGTTGATTCTGGTTGAAACTGTTTTTCGGTGTTCAGACAAGCGCACCGTGTCCGTTGTCTCCAAGTGCTTTTACTTCCCTCAATGCCCTGTGCAATTTCGTCCATTCCAAGTTGCAATTTTGCCAGTTGCTTCCGGCCGCCTCCATCAGAATAGCCACAGGCAAAGAAGCCTTCGAGACCGTCAAACACAAGCCATGTTACACAGACAGTGAAGCCAGTGTATACAGTTGGTGGGGGTCTCCACTTACCAATTTCAGGTTAGACTCTTTTGTATTGCACGAACGACAGGAGCCTTGACATAGCCCGCGCCCGCGATTTTGTGTCCATTGCGTGACCCACAACAGTGCACGCACACCCTGAAATGCATCCTGTCTTCCATCGAATGCAACCTGGAAAGTGTTTCGCCGTCCTTTGGCCCTGTATTGCTCCATGTTCCAGGCCTCCAACTTAGCACTTGTGACTTTGCTTCCGCACATTTCATCCAACGCCGTCACATCCTGAGGCCAAGGTCTTCTTGTGCAGCTCCACTTTTTTCATTGGTTTTGCCGGATTCCATTCAGCCGAATCCACACCCTAGTATACTGCTGACATCAAAGTCATTGCTTCAATTCAAGCTGCTTGAATTGCTCGATATTGCTCGTTGCTTGAACTGCTTGAAACAATTTCCTACGGTTCCCTTGCCTTGAGTAATTGACCTCGCCCTTTTTACATTGTTGCAAAATGACGACATTTAAAGCAAGGCCGCGGGCCGCGTTGGTTGGCTCGCTTAGCGGCTTGGCGGCTTAGCCTTTGAATTCCGACCATTCGACGTTATTTGGCACTTAAGCTTTGGATGCGTGCTGATGTCTTTCAATTCGCACCGGTCCTGGAAAGTGGTGTGAAAGTGAGAAGGTCGGCCAAGAACGGCCAAGGGCGGCTTGACGGATGGCTTAAGATGCTTGGGGTGCACGTCGGCACGATCGCTCAGCGACAACGACCGGACACTTTGCCAGACTCCAAATCGTCAGGCGAAGCTTTGAGTTTGAGCCTCGCAACAATGCATCAAGAGAGTTGAGAAAGCGGAAAGGAGTTGCGAAAGCTTCTCGTCTGTCAAACAAATGGCACAAGAAGCTTCTTGTGTTAGTCAAGGGCGACCCATGCCGCAAGTTGAAGGATTTTCGTTCGATCAAGGTGAATAGTTAACAATTATAAAGCATTGTTTTCTGCGCGTTCAACATTAGCACGTTGCGCTGCAGAACAGTCTTGTAAGGGCCAGTTGATACATATCGCTACACCAGGGCACGGAACGCTTCTCAAATCTAGTGAAAGGATCGCTGTTCCAATAACTGAGTTTCCAGCAAGTGCTTCCGCTTTCTTCAACAATAGCATGACCAGTTCTCCAATCATGAGCTTCTTGTTTGAAGCCTTCGTGCACAGAAAGGTGCAGGTCGTGTCCTGTCGTGGGTTTAAGAGTGTCTTTTTGAGAAGAGTCCGTGCGTGATTTAAAGCGCTTTGCTTGCATCCAAACCCCATCCAAGCTGAGTGCCTGGGTCACGACAAAGATTGCTTCCAACAGCTTGCCCAAATGTACTCGAGCGCACGCTTGCAGAGCGAAGGCCCAGGGTCTGGGGCGGGGCTGGCTGGGTATGAAAAAACAGACGTATCGTGAAATGAGAGTGGAAGAGTGGAGAAGAATCGAGAATACATTGAAGCAAAATATCATGTGAGTACATTGTGAAGCGCCCATGAACGACCTGCCAGGCCTCCATTTCAGGCTGCGTTCTTCCTGGCCAATCTTCAAGTGTGGGAAGCTTAGCTTGTCAAATTGCACGGCCAAGAGCTGTTGATTTTTTGGCATGTGACTTGCTGAGGCAATGTTAGCATTCAAAGACATGCTTGGGGACAAAGCTTTATTCTGTCGTGCAGAGTGTGTTTTTGCCTCTCTTGGCTATGCTACTTGCCACGCCCTCAGCATGAGAATCAAGAGGCTTGACAGAGTTCATTCCTGCAAACTGTAGCAGTCGGTTTTTCAAACGAAAACATCAATTACAGTAACTACAGAAACAATACTACGTGGTTGACCTTTCTATTGCCGCTTTCCAGGAAGTCGTCGTATATGGGGGTTGGAATGCTAATATCACACGTTGGTGACATGAAGCCTTGCAAGACAAGAGCGCCGGTATGGTCTAGTGGCTATGGCGCATTCCTCACGCGCCACAATTGTGTTCAATACCTAGGTGCAACACTAGGCGGACAGGCGGGCCACTACTCCACCCCTGCAGTTAAGTGGATGAGCTGGGGTGTGAAGCGTGCAACCACAACATGGCAAAACATTAACAATGGCAGACAGCCACTTCAGGATCCGTTGCGCAGAGTGCCAAAGCTAGCTCAAACACAACCAAGGCACGAACTACAAAACAAGCAGGGGCCGCTCGAACTGCAACAGTAACCCTTGTTGGATGGAATTTGTGATGTCATCCATTCATTACAGAAGCCAAGGTATGACACTCGCCGTGAACTGGGCTCAAACCAGGGCCTTGGGTCACTTGGAGACTGTTGGAGACGAAAACAAACCGACGTGTCGAGATTCAATCTGGTAGCGGAGCCGGCGGTGGAGAGTGTTTCCCAGCTCGGACTCTCACAGTGCTCACTCACAGCGCTCACCAATCCAGGACCAGAGTTGAGCTTGGACCTGGCTGATTGCGCGGCAGGAACATGTCTTAACTACGCGTCAGATCATCCCACAACACGGCCCCTTCAGGAGACTACGAGCAGCTCCTGCGTCTGGAGGGCTGTGGTGCCGAGCTTGTGTGGGTGACAAGAAATATGGCCGACCTTGAGGGATACTCGCCTTGCAACAATGTCACGATGGTGCGCAAGAAGGCCTTGTTCCCTCAAGACCTTCAAGAACTTCTTGGACAGCAAGTATCTCCTGCACTTCTACGGGCAGACCTTCATGCACAAGTTGGAACTAGTTCCAGAAGAGATGACAAAAGATGAGCCTCCAGGTGATGTTTTCACGAATCAGAGAAGTTGATAATCGTCAATGGCATTCACCTCACCAGAAGAAGCACGAAAAAGCTGTTGAGGGATGCGTGTGAACACCTTGGCCTCGGTATTCCTTTGATGGCGACTACAAGTTGCACTTCGAGAAAGTGAAGCTCAGTTGGCGCCCAACGCAGCCAAGATTGAGAAGAGGGCCATGGCAAGAAAACCAGAACAAGCCCAAGTACCTGTGGCCCCAACAGAAGAAGAGAAGCAGAAGCGCATGCTGTCACGCCTGCCGTTGCAAAATCAACGAGAGGCATGAGAGACGAGAACAATTCTGCTCTGCAACTTTTTGAATTACATGACCACGAGCACTTCCATTCGGAAAGAAATGAAGCGCCTGGTGGCAGTTGACCATTGGTGTAATGCCAGTTTGGTTGCTCCAACGTGCAAGCGTGAAGCTTTGCACCAATGCAGTCTGTGGATGTGCACGGGACTTTGACAATGCGATCATCAAGGGTGACGCAAGTGATGAAAGCAGTGAGTGATGAAAGCAGTGGCTGATGCAAGAAAGCTGCTGAACACAGGAATCCTGCAGAAAGAGCGATCCAGACAGTGAGACGGCTGGGCGCCACCTTACCGGAGAACGTCTGCACTCAATGCCAGATACGCGCCCGCAGTTTGTTTGGTGCTATGTGGCTTTACAACAGTTTCCACATGACAGCCGGCGGAAGCACACCTTTCGAAGTGTTGACTTCAAGAACCCACCGTGCATGGACAACCACTTCCAGTTCCAAAAAACGCCCGACGATGAAAAAAATCTATGCCACGAGAGGAAGCTGATGAGTTCTGACCTCAATGGCTTGTTTGTGGAGAGCAGTCCGTCGACGCGCGGTGGGGTGATGCAAGCGCGGAAGTATGGAACAACCAAGGTTGACAAGAAGAGGGCTGTAAGGACAAGTCTATCCTGAGTTTCAGGGCGAAGAGGCAAATATGGCCGGGGAGTATGCCAGATGCCGAGCAGAAGGCACTTTCGAAGCCTTGAAGATGGTGGACTTCATGGAGGCCAACGACAATGACCGCAAGTTCCTCAAGCGCCAGAATTACCAGAAGGACCCCAACTATACACGCAGAACTTTGACCTCCCGGTGAGCTTCGAGAAGAAAGCCAAGCGCCTTTGAGGATGTCACCCACCTCTTCACCTGCGGGAAGCGAGTTGCTGCCTTGCTGGATCCATTCTAGAGGTTGCATTGGACCAGCGTGAAATGGTCAATGTGGACGAATGCTCTCTTGGGTTGGATGAATGGGGAGGTTTTGAGGGCTCCCAGCTGGACCTCCCAACATGACTTAAGAGAAGGGAGGCGGAGAATACACCAATGCAGTTGGACCTGATGGAAGAGATGTGCGACGCGGTACGCCTACTTTCTCAAGAACCTGACCATGAACCGATGAGCCGGGTGACCAGGGCAACTGCGTATGCCTCAGGAGATGAGATCACAGAAAACGAGCCCACTTTGAATAGAGCGCTCAGACGGCGACGTAAAGGCGGGCTTACAAGAATACTTCCTCAAACCCGCTGACCCAGGACGTATGACTCTATTTTGCCAGAATCAGAGGATCAAAGCTACCTCATCAAGCGCTATGACTCACATTGACTCACCACATCAGGGGCAAAGGAGGAGTGTAACATTCTTTCATCAAGATGTGACACATGCGTCATACACACCTCCACGCGCAAGCATGTCGAGAGACGAGATGACACCGCGTACTGCAGGCTGTCAACAGGCGAGGGACGAGCCTATTGGAGTTTTTTACGGCATGTTTCCAGGTTTTGCCTTGGTAGCCAGATGAAGACTTAAGCCTTGAACCAAAATCAACTGGTCCCGTCTCTCAGAGCAGTGATGCGCTCAAACTCCGGAGTCTCCAGCAAGTGGTCGGCGCGGCGCCAAGCACGCCATATACTATACCACGCGAAACTGATTGAATGTATTTTTACGTACATATTCGTTTGTGGAGAGGTATTGTGTTGCTTGACAATGACTATGAGGGCCTCCATCAAGCCCATGCAGTTGCGACAGTGGACTATGACAGGTTTTGGTAAAGCAGACTTCCCTCAAGGCTGGAAGCAGGCTCTGCGCAGTGTTATGTTTCTACCGGTCGCAAAGCCTGAAGCAGCAGGTTTGGGATGTATAACGCTGGCACACAGCATGTTCCGGCGTGTTGCGGTGGAAGGTGTTCTTGACCAGCTAACTATGCCACCAAACTGTGCCTGGTAGGAAAAACATCTGCTTGGCAGCGCAGTTCTGACACACAAAAATATGTCGAAACCCAACAAGTCAAATGGAAGGGAATTATCAAAAGTGTTCGCAAAACTATTCCACAGCCTGAGGCGGGAATAATAAAGTATTTTTGCTCACGACGCTTTCAAAAATTGGTTTACGTTTCTATTGTTCAGCTTTTGCAGCCCTTTCAGGTCCTTTCTTACCTCATGGAACTGTGACCGAGAACCTTTTTCAACCCTTATTATATATCATCGTTTTCATGGCTCCAAGCAGTTTTCAATGGGGCACGCGCCCAGGGGAAGTGAGTAATAAGCATTGTTGAGGGGGTGGGCTCTTAAGAAAACTTGAGCTTGAAGAAGCAACCCCCGCTTTCTTTTCTATCACTCTGCTTTTGTGAAACCACTACGACGACGACTACGACTGCAACTACGACTACTACTACTACTACCTCGACGACGACGACGACGACGACGACGACGACGACTACTACTACTACTACTATGTTTTTTTACCACCACCACCACCACCACGACCACTACTACTACTACTACTTCTACTACTTCTACTACTACTACTACTACTACTACTACTACTACTGCGGCTGCGACTACCACTACCACTACTACCACCACCACCACCAGGTATTAATTCTTTTGGTGGCCTTGGTCGTATTCAGGCACCCTCGATTCTTTGCTAGGATGAAAGGCTATATTGCGCTAGTTAAGACCGAGCATTGCTCTTAAACGGATATTTTGGGCACATGCTGTACATGCATACTGTAATTCATTTGCTTTCAACGTTTTGTGTGTTTAGTTTGGACATGCAATTTCACGCGAAACTTGCCAAGACTGAGCTGTGAGGCAGCGTGGTGAGTTAAGCGGTGGAAGACTTTCAACTGCTCCAGTTCCAGGGACGTCTACATCAGTCCACCGTGCACGTGTTGGCTTGTAACGCAGTGCGCCCTGCCAAGGGATGGCAAGGCCCGATCCGGCAATGCCCAGTTTCGATTGGCTGAGCAGCCTGCCAGCTTTGGGATGGTTCGGGAAACTACAAGACTGGACGCGCGAAACTGTTAGCACGAGACCTGGGCAAAGATGTTCCATAAGACGGCATGATTTTGGTGGATTAGGTTCCCAGGTTTATCAGTTTTCAGACGCTTCAGACGTTCGCTGCGGGCCTTGAGATGCAGTTTTCTCAACTTAGAATGTTTGAGACTTCACAAGGTGGACTGTTTTTTCGACGCACAGATGCTGCCCAGATGCCTTTACAGTGAGTTCAAACTGATTTGCGTTGCAAAAAACGGCAGAAAGCACCTGCTCCAAAGTTGGTCGTTTTTGACAGATTTCACTTGCCAATTGTCATTGCATTGCGCTTTCGGCTGAGCAGTTAGATTGTCGAGCCACTTGCTGAACATGTCATGTCATTTCTCAGCTGGCACTGCCGAAGTTGCAAATGTGTTCCGCCTTCTGAAGGGACACCAACGATTTATTCCTGTTTTGTTGCTGAACGCATGGAACTTTGTGAAACCCTGTCAGCAACCATCCCGAATGAATGCCGAGAGAAGACAAGGCCGTGCGAAGGATTCAGCACAAGTCAGAGCATGTGGGCAAAATGTAGCAATAAGCCGCTGCTGCACCAGGAAATTGTTTCCGACAGCATCGAGAAGAATGCAACCGTCACCGGTGGGCACCCGCTAGAAACCCAAAGGTTTCCACGTGCTTCGTGCAACTTCCGGAGACAGCACGTTTTGGAATACGCCGATAGTTGTTTGTTTTGAAGGTATGCACTATTCGTATGCCAAAAAGGCGGCTCCACCGAAGGTAGTAGAACCTCGCTCCAGCAGTTCAGACACTGCCGGCTTTTTGCCACCGGCAAGTGAACTGGGAGCCTACGCAATCTGAGCGCTGTAGTGCGTGAACAAGCACATAGCCGACATAGCTCTTGATAGATTCGCATCTACCTCACTGACAAGGCGACGCACGTGGCCCTTCCTCCTTTGGTCGCATCCCGCCAAGCTCCCGGCTAAATATGCGCCTATCAATCACCTCAAGCGGGAATTACAACAAACCTGCTGGGGCAGAACTTCATTGAGCACACTCTGTTGCACTCCACTGTAGCAGTCTTGCTTTCAGCAAAAAGTGGGCGTCCATCAGACACCTATTACTGCATGCCAAGAGATGGCACGGCCCAATGTGGCAATGCCCAGTTTCTATTGGCTGAGCAACCTGCCAACTATTGGAAGGTAATTATACAAGACTGGACTTGCGAAACTGTTAGCACGAGACCTGGGCAAAGATGTTCCATAAGACGGCATGATTTTGGTGGATTAGGTTCCCAGGTTGATCAGTTTTCGGATGCTTCAGACGTTCGCTGCGGGCCTTGAGATGCAGTTTTCTCAACTTAGAATGTTTGAGACTTCACAAGGTGGTCATTCTTTGCGACGCACAGATGCTGCCCAGATGCCTTTACAATGAGTTTAAACTGATTTGCGTTGCAGAAAGCACCTGAGCCTCCAAAGACAGTCACAACTCCATGCCAGCAGGGGGCTAGGACCAATGCATTGCGCTAAGCCGTGTCATTGTTCCCGGGAAACACTTGCAAAGTGCCAGGTGCATCTGCATGTACAGATTCATTCAACGATTGGGAGATTTGCTGTTCTGGTTTAATAGTTTCCCATCTCTAAAAAGATACTTTTGGCAAAAGTACATACTGGGGTCGTGCTCTAGTGACTTTGAGGCTCCCAGGATTTGAAGGGGTGAACATGTGCGCCATAGCAGAAAAGCAAGCATGCCAGACCATGCGAAAGCCTTTAAACGCTCACAATGTCATGATGCAGCGAAGCAGTTTTCAAAGGCATATGATTGAACAATGCAAGTTCTGCAGAATTGCCTTGGTGGCATGTCTCGAACTTCTCAGGCAACGACATCATTTTGGCACCCAGTTGGTCAGACGATCTTTAGTAGGCAAAACCCCTTCTTCAACCAGGAAGCACCTAGGGCTAGGCCACAACCTGACAGAAGCGCCAGACACTCGTCAGCGCCGTCCCTCAGCGTGTGGAATGTGTTGTTTTGTTTGCCATGTCGAGTCGTTCAAGCTTGTCGATGAAGAATAGTGGTCCATCGCTCAAGAAATTGATGAGGCCGAGACGATAAAGGGAATGGTAAGTGCACACTGTGCCATACAATGCAACATTTGAGACAATTCCCTTGCGCCGGGTTCCTCTCTATCACATGTTTAAGTGAGAGTCCAGAAGGGGATGCTGAAGTTTAGTTGCGACGTCGCACTAGCTGGTTGGGATGCGTCGAACTGCCAGAGGTGTTCATTTTCCCTTTTGGGATACAAGATCATGTTGCCGCGCAGCACCTCGAACCTGAAAACAGAACTTGAAACAGGGCTATTGAAGAGGATTGTTTGTACACGAAACTTGCACTCAGCAGTCCCATGGGCAGAAGAAGTGTGGATTGCTCAATCTCTTCAGAAGGCATATTGCACAGCCAAGAAGATGTTGTTTGGCACAAGCGAGCTTGCCAAACATGCTGGGCTGTGGAACCCATTGATGCCTGCGCCCGCCAAGCTTTTGTGCATAAACCATAACTTACGCGCCATTTTCTTGATGCTTTCGGGTCACGGGACCTTCCTGGGGCTTGGAAAATACAGCACACTTGCATTTGGCTTCCGTTCCGTGATCTCTGAATTGCCTTAAGGCTCTATGGCTGATGGGCAAGCCAGACAATAGGCCCGCAAGGCAAGGAAATTTGCAGCATCGTTTGATTGAAACGTTGAAACGTGAGCAGTGGCCATTGAAACATTGTTCACTGGTTGACAAGCTCTCCACGCTCAGTTTGTCGTCAGACCTATAGGGTCAAGCTCTTAGGCTCGCAGACTTGCAGACTGGATATGTGTGACACCTCCGTGTAGGTTTTTCAGCTGATAAACCTCACCAGAAATAAGTTTCGCGTCCTCAAGCCTGAGCTGCCGTTTCGCCTTGTCCATTCTTGCACGCTGAACCCACAAACATCGAGGTCGGCGCAATGTCAAAACCAGGTTCCGCAATGTCAGACATGGTTTGTAAACTGGCGCCTGGCCAAAGCACCCACAGCGCGCCTGATGTGTGATGAACCCGTTGCCATTCTTGGTTCGACTGCATTGTCTCCACCGTCATAGTGCAAGAGCACACTGTTGCTGTCCACGTTGGATTGCACGGCCGAGTGCTGAAAACCAGCTACTCGTACAAACGAGTGATCCTGTTGCCGTTGCTTTGCCTGAGCCGCACCATTGGGGCAAATTGCTTCCTCTCTTGACACAATCAGGGTGAGTTGCCCATGCTAAATTTGATGGCAAGTACAGAGGAGATAGATCCAAACACATGACATGTAGACATGCCACGTGCGACACACCCTTGTATGCTTCGAGCCTTTCCGCAGCCCTGACCTTGGGATCGAAGTGGCTTTTGCAGAAGAACAGTTTGAGTACAGTATGGTGGTGATGCGCCATCCCCCTAGTTTGCACAGTGAGCACAGTGAGAATCGTCGGGAGAGGACACTCTCTATTCACCTCTTCACCTCGGGCACTAATCTGGTGGTCCGAGGGTCAAGGGGGCCCTTGTCTGCCCCATCAAAGACGAGTTTTGGCTTACATGCGGAGCGGCAAGCTCGATGAGCTTGGACATGGTTTCCAAGTTGCAGCGGTTGCGAAGTTGCAAAAATGCATGTTGACAAGTTCACGGTTGGGCCAGGATGGCCACGTGCTTCGTTTGAACCACGTTGAAGTTAGTCGTACTGTTGATTTTTCTCATGCTGCATCCGGAAGTTCTACTATACTTATAATATATTGGTGCGGATTGTTAGCAAGTTTGTCGAGTTGTGCGGTATTCAGTCGTTGTCGTTGTCGTTGTCGTTGTCGTTGTCGTTGTCGTTGTCGTCGTCGTCGTCGTCGTCGTCGTCGTCGTCGTCGTCGTCGTCGTTGTTGTTGTTGCGCATGTTCGTTTAAATGCATCACTGCTTGCACACAATGAAACCATAGTAGATTGAAGAATGGTTTTCCTTTTGGCCTGTTTAGAAGCGATGGTTCAATAGTTAATTCTTCGAAGGCACCTGTGAAGGCTCATTGTTCCCAAGAGTCCAACATCTTCAGAAAAACGGCAGGTTGAATGATCCCCGTTGCTATCGATTTGCTATAATGGGTGTGGTCGAGCGCGAACAATTAGATTACTCATTTAGGTCCAGCTTATCCAAAAAGGATTCTTAAATAAAATGGATGTCACCGACAGATTTGATGGTTGGTCAAATCAGCCAGTTTGCAAAAACGAATACAAACAACTTATAGAATGTCGAACCCATTTTATATAAGTTGAGCAGCGGTTTTTTTTGTCTATGAAAGAGTTTATACAAAAGTGGAACTACTCTTGATGCTGCGTAGGCTATTCTGCTTGGGGGCGTAAGCTTGCGTAGGCAACCGCGTAGGAAAACATAGTAGTGCCTCGCGTAGGCGGAATGCGTAGTTGTAACTTGGAGTAAATCTAATAACCTGTAACACGGAAAGAACAATGGACCGATATTCATCCTTTAGTTGACTTGCTTGGTGGCTGGTACTTGAAGTTTGAGGAAGTAGATCTTGAGGGATATGAGTGACCTTGTTGCTGTATGCTTCTTGGGGATCACAGTGCGAACACTGTGTGAGGGATTTCGACAACAGGGGTTTGCTGAGGAAAATGTATTGCGCGCCCATCGAGATGGGCTCATCAGCCTGTTGGCCCTGCTGGGGACATTGAGACTTTGCTGAAAAAAGCCGAGGACAGACTGACCAAGGCTGCTTCTAAGAAGCGCCGACAGGCACAGGCTTTGCTGTCTTCATCTTCAAGCTCGTCTTCTTCTGCATCCTCATCTTCTTCATCTGCATCTGCTCCGTGAAGGCAGCATGCAAAAAAGGCCTCGCGTAATCGACCGCGTAGGTACCTCATCAAAACCCTCGATCTGGAACATGCTCGCGTAGGCTACCTCACATACTTTTGATATGTCGCGTAGGCGCTCGCGTATACATGCTGCGGAGTGTATACTTCCAAGCACCCAAAAAAACCACCACTCAGTTTGAGCCATAATATCATGATGAAACAGCAGTTTCATTGGGGTTATAAAAAAACTTTTAAAAAATCGAATGTGAAGAGCAAACTACGATCTCAAGGACGCTCCAAGGCAGGAAGGTTTTTTCCTCTATAGTTCTTGGATCTCGGATGTCCTGTTTTTCTTATAACTATATGTGTATCTATTTGTTGTTTGCATCGTGCGTACAGGATCAGGAACAAAAACCTATTAAATCCCAGAAAGGCATCAACAAGTGTGTGTGGACAAAGATAAAACAAAACTCAACATGACCGCAACTTCTGAACTCAATTTTTCATTAGGTTTTGACATGTCTTGTGGGGGCATGTTCCAGATATTGCACCGGTTATTGGCCTCAGGACCCACACAAAGAACTATCAAGGAGGGCGAGAAGATCTCAGCCACAAATTAACATATCAGAAAAAAATGCGATTCTGAGAGCAAAACTGTGATATCGTCATCAAGAAGCTGTTTCCACGCCACACGTGAAACACTAACCCAACAGCACACCAAAAAAGTACAAGACCACCAAACCCATGCAAGAAGCATGGTTCAATTTGCCAGTACCAAGCATCATACTTGTTTCTGTGGAGCCGCTGGTCCTTATAACTTGGGAGGGATGGGACAGTTCTCTTGGCATCATGTGATTTAAATGCATTTGTTGGAAGGACAGGGGGAAACTGAAACTTTGGTCCAATCCCTACCACACTCAATCATAGCCTGGCAACTCCCCAAGCATCCCAAAACTGATGAATAAACTCTTCAAGTAGAGAAACAAATCTCCCAAAAGAGCTAATTTATGTTTAAGTTTGTTGGTTTCAAGACTTGGGATGCAGGGCTCAAGACTTTGAGATGCAGGAGGGCTCACAAACTGTGTTCAAAGACTTGGGGGTGCAGAGTTCAAAGTCATATGACTGAAGGGTTCAGAAACCTTGGGATGAAGAAGGGTTCACTCATTTTGTTGAAAAGACGTGGGGTGAAGGGCGCAAAGTCTTTGGGATTAAGAAGGGCCCACTATGTGAGGCGCAGAGTTCAAATTCAGGGACAAAGGGCTCTGAAACTTTGTTCAAAGACTTGGGATGCAGGGTTCAACAGCCTTGGGATGAAGAAGGGTTTACAAACCTTGTTGAAAAGAGTTGAGATGAAGGGTGCAAAGTCTTTTTCAGGATAAAGGTTTCCAAGATGCATGTGTTTAAGAAGTCTCTGAAGGCGAGCATTTGTTTTGAAAAAGGATTAGTGCTGCAAAGGGTCAAAGGTCTTGTACACTGTCCACCTGTTTTCTTTAACAACACTTGAAGTAAAATGATCAAACTACTCTGGATTACTCTGTTGTAATCTTTGGTTGAGGCTCTTGCTGTGATGTAGTTAGTTTCTTTCAAAACACGATACATCAGCACAAATTGGTCCACGCCATGGACTCCGTATGTGGTAAAACAACACGATGAAAAAGAAGGAACAATATATACCGCACGAATCTGGAGTGTTCATAACCATCACGATGGGAAAGGTGAACGTGACCGGACAGGAAGGAATGACCTTGTTCCGTTTCTCTGAACGTGATCACACAGTAAGGAATTCCAGCGTGCACCCGCTCTCGCTTCTCTCAGAGGTAGGGCGTGACATTTAAACACATACAGTTTGCTGATGAGGGTTCTCATGTCTGCTTCTCTCTCACTTTTCATCGAGTTTTCGGTCTCTTTTGCCCATGTTTTTGAGGTCGTCATGTTCTTTTATTGTTGTACTAGAACCAAATCATTAGTGCGAACGCTTCGTCCTTAATTCAAGGGAAGAACCATAGTGTTGCATACGTTTCCCATTTGATGGTTTTACATTGCAGTACTTTTATTGGTTGATCATGATATGCTTAAAGAAATATTATCAAAAATCAACACGATGGATGAGTACTGTAAATGAAGAAGATAGAAGGAAACGAGATTTGGTAAAAAGGGACGTTCTTTAAACGTCTTGAGGAGAAGGTAAACCGTCATGAGCGTGACATCGTTTTAGGATACTGCAACTAGTGCAGTTGCAACTGGTAGATTCCAACACAACCAAGAACCAACAACGAAGGGCGGTGCCAACACTCGAAGGTCCAAAGCTAACACCTTAGCTGAATCCCAACGCACTCACAAGTGCCCACGAACCATCGCTCGTTTTCCACGCGCGAGCCGGGGCTGGCTCAAGGCCTGAGTGAAAAGGATTGTCACGGAAGTACCATGACCTCAGTGAGCGGCCAACGAACCATGCATGTTGCACGGGCCACAACTTTACATTGGTTGCGAACAGGCGTGTGCACGCATCACACGAGTGGCTTCTCGGCCCAGCTGTTTCGCTTTCCGAGCACTGGTCACGAAGTGCGGGTCATAGGAAAGCATCCAGAACCATTGTCTCAAGAACTGGATCATCCCGCGGCGGCACTCGGATGACCGTTTGGTCATTGCATCTCCCAGCATCCAGTCACCTGAAAGCGAGTGCCAGCACGTTGAAAGGGTTGCTTTAGTTGGAAAGCTTGCACAGCTGACCTTGCGTTCGAGAGGCCTAGGTATGGCCCTTCTTGCAGTGTCACTGCATCAAACCCTCCTTTGCTGTCAGTGCCAAAGATGCCCTTGACGAAGGACACTTGCAACTCTGCTTGATCTAAAAGATCACCTGGGGGCCGATCAACACCTGCACCGTGAATTTCACTCCACAGGAGACCTGTTCTGAAGTTCACGTCTTCACTTTCCACCATGGCTTGAATCTCACCGTCATTGGAAGAGATCGCCACACGCTTCAGTTTCCATGTCTTCCAGGAAATCAACGAAAGCGGGCCAGGCTGTCCTTGGAGATGTTCCGGTCCTCCAAAGAACGACACAAGGCCTCCGGTGGATCCGCCGGTTGTGGTGTGCTTGGTCACCGAGTGTGATGAAGACCATGTCTTGCCAATGCTGCACGGCGGGGATCTTCTTGAAGACCAGCTTTGTTGGGGCCTTCCTGGCCTTTTCACCAACTGCTGAATCTCCTGTGAGCCACTTGCATGGACGGCTTTCGAGATCCGAGAGAAGCAGGTTTGTCCGGGCACAGAGCAATGGCTGAGTCTGGATCGAAAGCCATGAAATTGCTCCCAAAGCTGCCCTGCACTTGCCAATCTCCTGTGGTGTCAATGCCACATCTTGGCATCAATGTCCAAGTCGGCCAGGGCGGCCAGGGTCTCTGTATAGAAGTCCTGATTGATCTCCAAATAGCGGCCGTCTTTGGAATTGTGTGTTTCCACAATGTCGGCGCCAACGTGCCTGTAGCTTCCACTCTTGACGGTGCCCCAACCATACGCCTTGTTGATCTGGTCTTTCACCTGAAGCCAGCGAGGGTATGAGGTGTCTCCATTGAAATCATCCACATGGCCTGAGATGTAGCCAATCACACGATGTCGATCTCCATCGTTGCGAGGCTCCTCAACAGGTTCAGTCCAGATCCAAGTGCATGGATCACCCAACACCTTGTGTGCACCCAGACGCTGGAAGGTGGAGTCAACCCCTCTCCACACGACAAACCACGGGGGTGCGTGGTGCTGGTGAGGTAGTCGCTTCGGAACGCAGAAAAACGATCGCTTCGGAACGCGGGAATGTGATCGCTTCGGAACGCGTGTCATCGCTAGTAGGTTGGAGGCCATCGCTACTACTATGGAGGCCATCGATAGTAGATTGGAGACCACCGTAACCACTAGCAAGATGCCTACGAATGCCCACGATTGCGTTTGTTATGGTACTGTGGAAGCAATTAGCAAAAAGAGATCATCATGTAGATGAATGTTCAGACAGACGTTATTAACACCCCCCCACCCCCCCCACCCACCCCATCCTTCATCTTTAAACCCTCCCCATCCGTGTCTGTGTGTGTGTGTTCAAAATTGACCCAAAAAACCAGGTGTGTTGTGTTCCAAAGTGATCTCGCTTTTTATTAACCCTTCCATGTTTTTGGGCTGTTTTGTGTTCCAAAGTGAACAAAACTTGTGTTCCAAAGTGACTCTCCCACCCGTGGTGCTGCCATAGAAGTCCTTGAGGATGCGAAGCAAACCACCATCACTGACCTGCAAACCTTCACGCAGCTCTTTGACGCCAGTCATCCACAGGCGAAGACTCCTGCGTTTGACCTGTCTGGAGGAAGGCTGTTGCAAGGTCACGACCCCCCAAAGTCCATTGCTGTTGGACCGTCAGCTGAAAGGCAAGGTGACGAGTCACAGCTGACTGAACAGGTGCACTAGACCGGTACTCGGGCTCAGCAATGTCAGGATGTTGATATCCCAGGAGCACGACGCGAGCTTTGCCATCGGCGGTCAAGACGGTTGTCTCACTCTTCTCTATCGCTTCTCTTGCAGCGTCTTCCAGATCTTCAGGTGGGGTGGTTTTCCACGTGAGAACCCAGCGACAGCCAAGAATGCGGCCACTGGCCTTGGCTTTTTGTTCCTCTTCATGGTTGAGGCACTTGCGAACAGCTTCTGCCTGGATGAAGGAGGAGACTTCTTTGTTCTTTGCCCGAGCGAAGAGCTACGAAATTCACAATCACGAAGCTTGGCCACCAGAAATGCTGCAGGGGACCGCAAGAAGTTCTTCAGCTTGCGATTGCTGCTGAAGTCTAAATCCACTTCCATGTAGGAGCCATAAGTCGACACCAGGTTGGTCAGGAGCAGACACTTGTCGAGAAGCACCTTCTGAAGCAAGAAGAGGCTGACCAGAGGCAGTTGACATTCGTCTTGAATAGCCTTCTTCTCGGCCAATGTTGCCACTCTCAGTGTCTTCTTCTGGGGGTGGTGGAGGTGGAGGTCGTTCATGGTCATAGACGTTGACCGGAAGTGCGCTTGGTACTGGTAGCTACTACCTGAGTTCCGTGTGGCGGGGCGGAAGCCTCTGGACAAGGTGCGACGCGCAATAACTTTCTATGTTGAGAAAAAACGATATCTGGTAGGTTTCGAGATTGCGGTGGCAATGAAGATCGCCGCCTTGGAGGCTTGATGCATGACTTTTGGAAGGCGTCTCGTACGAAACGTTCGCTTTGGAGACTTGACGCGTGACTTGTGGAAGACATCTCGTACGAAACGCTCGCTGTGGAGACTTGACGCATGACTTTTGGAAGACGTCTCGTATGAAACGCTCACTTTGGAGACTTGACGCATGATTCTTGGAAGACGTCTCGTGTGAAACGCTCGTTTTGGAGACAAGTATGTCCTGCAAGAGTGTCCCGCAAGAGTGTCCGCCAAGACTGCGCCGCCAGAGTGTCCTATGAGACTGTCGCACAAGAGTGCCCCACAAGAGCGTCCCACCAGAGTGTCAAAAAATATTTGGTCACTTGTTGCTGAGTACATGTGTGCATCCAGGCTCGTGGGTTCCAATTTGTTTACCTTTTCGCTGAATAACTTCCAACGACCTTCCGGAGCTGGGCTCAAGTCTTTGGTCTTCATTTCTGTGTGCCAGAGACTACGCTCGCAATGATGGTGGATTTGACAAGAGTGTCTTGGTGGCACTACATCAGCTGGAAGGCTAAAAGATCAACTATTTACTTTCTAATCGCATCCTTGTGACCTATGCAAGATTTTCCAGTTTGTTTTCCTTAGAAGACTTGAATACTGATGTAGGCCACCGGGTGGTGGTTGGCTGGGTCCGAAATGTGCAACCCAAGGTCCGAAATGTCCAGATGGTGCAGTTTTTGCTGGCAAGGAGGCTGTTGTTTAAAGTCGCACCCTCGCTTGACAGTTTCGAAGCTGCTCGACGCTCTGAGTCCTCAAATGTGTTCGGTGCTGAGCAAGAGCGAAGAAGTCCTTGCGCTTTCCCAGCGTAGATGACATAACTAGACAGATTGACGATATGCTGAGTTTGAAGGAAGGAAGGATCTCAAGGAAGGATGCACATCTTGTACTTGCAGGGGCAAAGCGTGTTGCGCCTGCAGGCCAGCTGTTCGTGTGAAGAGAACCCTGTCCCCAAAGTGTTTGTCGACGGAAAGCGAACGAGGCATTCAATCAGCAGAAGTAGGTGGATTGCCCTTCGCAGAGCTTCGTGGAAGTAATTTGGGGCCCACACAACCCACGTGGGGGCTGTAGGTGTTTTGGGGGTTCGCGGCAGACTTCTTTGCTATTCCCCAAAGGTTCGCGCTAACGCTGTTTGCCTTCGCAGAAGTTTGTAGAAGGGTGCGCGGTTCGCAGAAGTCCTTGCGAATACCTGTCAGTCTGGGTACCCCAATGGCTTTGCCCCTAGTTTGCTTGCACGCTCTCATGCCATTGACTCAACTAGGCTGGCTCAGACAAGCAAAAACGTTTCGGCAGTTGGTTGCTTTTGCAGGTGCAGAAATTGCTATGGACGGTTGTCAAGGTGGTTGGTTCTACTGGTAGTTCGCAGAGAAATGCGAGCAGCGTCATTTCACGCACAAAAATGATGAGATTGAAGCAAAGCTTCATTAGCGTGTTGAAGCTGAACCCAATTGACAAGTTTGCACATGTTTCTGGCCGTTCGTGTGCAGAGACATTGTGACAACGGCGAGCACACTTTGCCTCAGTCGGCCACGTGTAGCAAAGCACAGCCGAAGAAGGGCGAGCGATTGAAATGTGTCCATGACTTTGCTGCAAATGCTATCAATGAAGTGAAACCATTTGGCGCATTGATTATAGCCAATATGGCGCAGTGGGCGGACAATTTTGGCTGGATCAAAGACCTTTCATTGAGCTGCGTTCTGCGTGCTCAGTCTACCCATTCGTCCCAACAACGCAATGGCTTCTTGAGAGGACATTAGCTTTTGAGAGCACAAAGAACTTGTGTCAGGCCGCAGAAAGAAGAAGGAGATGCAGGTTGTTTTCTGCAAAACGTGTTTCTTTGCAGCTGCATATTTCAGCAAAAGGGTTTTCATCGCACAGAAGCACTCGTAAGAGGCGCCTGGCGTTTCCCAGGTCGATTTGCGCTCTCAGTTCAACCCATCTACAGGGAACTGCTGAAGGCGAACCTATTTCTTAGCACTTGCCAGAATTTCGTTGGGAGCG